GCACTCTGTGGCATGTTCTGCTCTCTTCATGATAGAGCATCTGATTCAGCATTCAACTTCTATGGCTGATAATCAATTCTGAAGTTGAATCAATAGAGAATATTTATCCAACATAGCTATCTTTCATTTAGTCTGTGTGTAGTCATGAAGTATTCTAGATTCTTATGATCTGTGAGAATCTTGAATTCCTTTACACTTTATAGCTCAGCATTTCATTTCTTTAAACACTCAATTATCACTAATAACTCCTTATCATGAATCTCATAGTTGCATTCCGCAGGTGAATGCTTGTGAGAGAAGAAGACACATGGGTGTAGAATGCTCTGCTCATCATATTGTAGCAGCACTTCTTCTGAGACATAACCTGAGAAGTCTATTTCCAATATAGTCTCACAGTCAGAATCAAATTGAAGCAGGATTGAAGCAGAGATAAACATTGATTTTAGACACTTAAAAGCTTCCTCAGCTTTGCTTGTCCACAAAAAAGAAACATTCTTGCATGTAAGAATTGTCAGTAAGATCATAATCTTTGAGAAATCTCTGATAAATTGTCTATAGAAATTGACAAAGTCTAAAAATCCTCATACATCTTTAAGAGTAGTAGATGTCACTCATTTCAAAACAGCTTAAATCTTTTCTGAATTCATTCTTATATCCTTGCTCACTTCAATGATGAATTTAAGATATTTTGTACTGTTCATCTCAAACTCACTTTTTCTGATGTCTGTCTGCAGGCCTGCTTTCTGTAGATGCATAAGCATCTTTTGTACATGCTTGCAATGCTTCTGTAAGCTTCTTGAGAAAAATATCAAGATGTCATCTAAATAGACTGAGCAGAAGTTGTTCAGATATCCATGTAATACTTAGTTGATATATTTTTGAAACATGCTCAGAGCATTGGCTAAATCAAAGAGTGTAACCAGTCACTCAAATAGCTCATATCTGATTCTAAAGATTGTCATCCACTCATCACCTTCTGTGATTCAAATCTTGTGAAAAGCTGCAATAATGTCCAGCTTAATGAATCATTTAGCCTGTCCAATTCATTATAAAGTCTCACTGATTAATGATAGAGGATATCAATCCTTTCAGATGATTTTGTTAAGAGCTTAATAGTTCACACAGAATCTTAGCCCACCCCCAGACTTCTTCACAAATAGTATGAGAGTGACTGCAGGGGAGTTACTCACTCTAATAAAATCTTTATCTAGATAATCTGTAAGAGTCTTTTGCAAAGCCAGTAGTTCCTCTTAAGATATATTATATAATGAGCTCTAAGGGGGTTGTTCTGCACTACCATTAGTTTTTTTAATCAGTTCAATCCTATGATCTCTACCTGGGCCATGAAGTGGGGGTAGAGTGTCAATGGCTTCCTTATCAAATACATTCAAAAACTCATGATAATGTTCAGGTAGCTTTTCTCTAAGGTCAATCTTTGATTTCACTTCTAGAGTCTTTTGAATATCAGTCAAACTGACAGTGAAGATCTCAATGTTTTACTTCTCTCAAGTGCTCACAAGCCTAGAGAAGCTTACAGCAGAGATGGGAATCACATCAGCTTTTGCATTTGAACTAGACTCTACCTCTATGTCACTCTCTTCAAATCTCACAATTCTTTAATAAGGAATCACAGTTGTCTTTTACTGGGCCAGCCAGGGGTCATCTAGATACATATCATAATTATGTAACTCATTCACTATATAGAGAAAGGTCTGTTCAGTTACATGACCATCTATATCAATTTGAATGCCAGTCACTATGCTTGTGGAGAGTCCCATGAAGTCTTCAGAGCCAGTCATTTTAACAGGGAGAATTTCAATACATAGGAGATTATGCTTGTTAATGTAGGATTGAGAAATAAGATCATAGACATTACATCTACTGTCTATCATTGCTCCAGTTGAAAAGGCATTATCTACTAGAGCATCAATAGTGAAGGGTTTGAATATCATTTTAGATTTAAATCTTCTCTATTACTTTCTCATAAGATTCTTATTTTGCTCCTTTCAGTGTCTTTTGATTGGAGCTACTCTTTTCTCAAATTTTCACTCATATTCACATCATCATCATTCAGTACTGGCTTGGGGATCATCTTAGCTATCATGAGAGTGACAGAGTGTCTGAGAGGTTTGAACAGGCAGCTCTTAATCATATGACCTTCAGCTCCACATCTTAGGCACAGGCCTTGCTCTCTTTGTTGATTAACCTCTATCTGATTTATCAATTTGATGTGGCAGGTGCTTGAGGTCACAGCATTAGAAGAGAGATTCATCAAATCATCAGTAGAAGCTTGAGACTGATTTCATCAGTCAAGAACAGCATGATGAAGTAGAAAGTGTGAATTAGATATTGTATGATCTGAAGAAGATCTGCTCTCACAATGTTTAGATCATTGTCTTAAAGTTTTAAGCTCAGAGAGTTGATGATCAACTAATCTAAGCTCCTTGCAGTAATTCTCATAGAGAGATGGTTTCCTTACACCCACTATGCCTTCCCTCAGCTCCATGCTTAGAGTGGATTTCAAATACCTTTTTTTAACATGATCATCTTATCTGTGACTATCAGCTTCCAGCAGTAGCTGATTAAATTTGAGCAGAAAGTCAAAAAGAGCTCTTCTACTCTGTCATAGATTGTTGAGCTTTTGCATAGCCTTTTCCTGTCATGCAGAATCACTAAAGAGCATGCATGTCTGCTCCAGTAAACTCTCTACTGTGAAGTTGATCTTGTTCTTATTATTCTCAATTCAGAGATAAACTCAAGCTGCTGCTATTTCTTTCAGTCTTGAGTACACATATCAAGCACATTCCTCATTATTATCTAAAGCTTTCTCATTGACCTTAAGTTTTGATTGAAGCTTTAGCTCTCACTAAGAGTAGTGCTTCAGATTAGAATCATCATACTTCTTGCAGTCCAGTAGCTTGATCTTTGGTCTTCTGACTGCAATGAGTGGTTGCAGGTTTGATTGAGAGAGAATTGATGTTGAGATGTTCAAAGCTTGTTGTAGATTAGCTATTTCAGCTTGCTGAGCTGCTATTAAATCCCTGTTCTCACACTGAACCTGTTCCTGCTGTTGGAGAAAAGTCATCTATTGTTGTTCAAAGCTGCTGAGGGTGTCTCTGCTCATTGCTTCATGTTGATTCATTTGTTGTACAAGTCTGCCACTTTATCTCATTCAGCTAGACATTTTTAATGTTGCTCATTCATTTGTTAGCATGATTGCTAACTCAGTCTATTCATATATCAATGCTATCACTGAACTTTATGATGCAGAATTTAAGGCTCTCAATAGTCTATCATATATCAGCATGTTTGCTGAGCTTCATGATACAGAATTAAGACTCTTAGTGGTCTATCAATGAAAGGAGTGAAGCAATTCATAATGTAAAGAGTTAAGCTCTAAGAACTAGAGGCTAGTCCTCCTATATAACAAAGATGAATTGCTTGAGAAAGGGAAGAAAAGAATGAGATGAGAACTCAAGCTTAAGCAAGCTCACGTAGCATAATCACATGCGCATGTGCAAATGATGACTAGGCTGAGTCAGCCAGCCAGAGCAAATCTAGAGGTTCAACCCCTTATAGTTTTGAACTCAGATGTGTGAGAAATTAGACATTAAGAGCTGACTCTTCACAGTCTATCAATGAAGCTACAGAGTGAATGAATCAGATTCTGAAAATCTATCTATATAAGTATGTTAGCTTTCAACAGAATGACTGATGTGAATGACTCTCTCTGATAGAGCTGATTATCAATAATAGAGATACTATCTCAACAGATGTAAGCTCATTCTTTTTAATACATCTTTTTCACATCTTCTTCATTGATATAGCTGATGCACTCTCTGTTGAAATGTCACATAATCTCATTGAGTTTGCAGATGATTATATGAGAAAGATCTGTGAAGTGTTGAAGTGAACTCAAGTAAAAATAATGAATGCTCAGCAATCTCAAAAAAACTATGTAAATAGATAAAGAGATTCAGCTTCAAGCTTTCAATCTGAAGATAAGATCTGGTTGAGCTTAGAGAACATGAGAACTAATCACTCATACAAGAAGTTGAATGTGAAATATAATCAATATACTGTGCTAGAAAAGATAGAATTTCATGCTTACTGATTGAATGTCTCATCTGACATTTATAATGTTTTTAATGTAAAGCTTCTATATGCTGCAGTGACAGATTCTCTGTCTAGTCAGAGGCAAACTGACTGACAGCCACTCACTATAGAGACTCTGAAAGAATCTGAGTTTAAGATTGAGAAAATTTGAGATGAACAAATCTATCAAAGAAAAAAGTAATATCTTGTTAAATGAGTAAGTTGAGCTAAGTCTACATGAAATGATGTGAGTCTTCTACAAGAAGCAAAGACTTTGAACACTAGGGAGGCCTCTCAGCAGGCAAAATTAGATATAAAGAGGACTTTAAAAAATCATAAAGACCTGCACTAAAGAGGGAGAAGAGGGGTATTATAAAAGACTGAACCTCTAAATTCACTCTGACTGGCTGACTCAGCCTAGTCATCATTTGCATGTGCGCACATGATCATGCTACTGTAGAGGATTAAGCTCTAAGAACTAAAGGCTAGTCCTCTTATATAACAAGGATGAATTGCTTGGGAAAGGGAAGAAAAGAATGAGATGAGAACACAAGCTTAAGCAAGCTCGCGTAGCATGATCATATGCACATGTGCAAATGTTGGATACATGCTAGCATCAATAACATAGAAATCGAATGGATCCAGTGAGCCCAGCGGGCGTTCCTTAGTGGTTGGTTTGAATATGGCAGTTACTCCCTTAACAGGTAGAATGTTGGTTTCGGGGGAATGTTTTTCGATGAAGGGGCTTTGTGTCTAGGTATGTGTCCGTTTACCAGTGTTGTGCATGCCTTGGAGAGGAAACCTATGGACATGTTGGCATTCTACCCTTGCGTCTCAAGAGATTCTTCTGTTTTTACGTCTGCGTCTGTCTCCATGTGTATGTGGAAGAGTTGGCGGTTTAGCCATCATCGCTGTTTGGGATGGTGTATCCCAGCTTCTGTTGTATAGGGTGAAGTGTTTTCCACCTCTGGTTGTCGCACTGGTGATCCAGAGTCTGTTGTATGATGATGACGACGACGATGTGGGATTGCATGCGAGTTATACGAGTTATTGAGGACTCCTGCAGAGTCGCGTTCTTTATGGTTTCGTGCTTGTGTATTGGGGGAAGGACGAGGAGAAGACCAGCTCTGGCTGCCATCATCATATATATTGTATTCAGGCTCAGAGTCGTTATCTATATGATTGCTATCATAATGTCTTTTGCTTAAGTCATAGTTGATAAAACCTGAGGGGATGCTAGTCATTACTTCTCTTCTCATTGTATTTCTGTTTTCTTTCTTCAATTGGGCATCCTGTGTTTTCTCTCCGAAGTTTGAGCCAGGAAAACTTCCATAGTCTATGAAAGTCTTGTATGAGCTACTCGAGTCCAGGGTACGCGTTCGCAATCGGGCTTCCTCATCCATGGCAAACTGCAGAACGTGACCTAAGAGGGTGAACTCCAGGAAGAAATATTATGAAGATTACGATCAGAAAGTTAAAGCGTGTTTTTCCCGAAGTACATTTTACGTAGTTGATATATCACATAGGAGTGAAGGATATGTAGGGGGATCAAAGGGTGCAGTTGGTAGTTTTTATCTCCTAAGCTTTTGAAACGAGCATATCTACATTGTGCATCATGTAGGGAAAAGGTGGGCAAAATGTCAATCAAAGAAACAAATCCCATCAGGGAGAGAGGCTTGAGAAAGGAAGATAGCCGAGCATTGGTTTTTCAAAGGTTTTTGTCACCCCATTGAAGAGACTAAAAGCCCCTAAAGACGTGAGCAGCTGATGCCTTAAGAAACATAGAGTGTAGGAAGCAGGATTAAAGGATTTGTTTCTAGAAAGTATTCTCAACACCATTTGGTTCTTTATGAAAGCAGGGTCAAGAGAGGCTTGAAGAGGAAAGGAATTGTAAGGAATCAAATGGAGGAAATATATATGACAGGTATGAATGAATAACAACGCTTCTCTATTCCTTCTTTTGTGCAATAAAAAGTAAATTTGAGTTCCAACCCATATGCACAATTCAAGAGTCAAGAGGAAATATGGCTCAGAGTGTTAAAGGGAAGGGTGCTTTTCCATTCTTCAAAAGTTGGTTTGAAATAAGAAAAAACCGATCACAATGGCAAGATTTGTAGAAACTTAAAGCCAAATAACGGAGCGACTGTCAAATAAAAATGCGGGAAATGAATACAAAGGAAAATCAATCTAATTGCCTGAGAGGGAGAGAGGGAGAGTCAGACCCCAAAAGACATGTCAGTCAGGACATGCTGTGGTTCCTGTTCATTTTTCATCATGAACAAAGAAATAAGAGTTTATATATTTTCTTCCTGAGAACAAAATAGCTGCATAAAAAGCAATGATAAATGAAATATATAGTAATGGGGACATATATCCATTATCCACGATAACATCACATCTCACATTTCACATCTTTATCATAAAATACCAAAACCAAACAACCGCTCGTAATTTTTGTGTTGGCAGGCATCGTTTGCCATAGCTTGGAGAGAGAACGTGGTGTAGCCCCAGCGCAGATAGTGAGCGGGAGACACCAGGTCGCCAGATCAGAACGAGACCCGATATCATATTGAATGACTGGATGTTGAGGTCGAAACTGTCCGTTCATCACTGAAGTTCCTTCTTTGGAGTGAAAGAGTCAACGCTGTTTTGATCTTGTTCTATCCTGCTCCATCGACGGGATTTGATGGTTCGTCTAGACCGGCACTGTTTGCATGCACCTGAGATGAAGCACCGCGAAGTTTTGCAATGCGTTCCTCCTCAGATTGATCCCGTAGCCGTTCGGTCTCTTTGCGCAGTGACTCCATATTCCATTCATTTTGATTATCGTCGTCGTCATGATCGCCGCCATCACCATTTTCGTCTTCTGATGCGTTCCAGTCGCCGCTTTCGAACATGGCACGACCGCTGGCATCTTTCGCTTTCCGGGCCTCTTCCTCCGCAGCTTTCTTGTCAAGACGTTCTTTTTTCCACTTGGCGAACGTTTCTGGAGTGACTGGGGTTAGCTTGCCGGTAAGTTTATGGCGTTCGGACTCGAGAAAGTCTTCAAGGGTCAGAGTTTTCAGGGGAGATTTGTCCATCAGAGCCTTTTCAGCAGCTCTTTGCTCCTTGGTTTTAAGGACGAATCTGTACGCCGTCGACATGGATTAGACGATAGCTACCGAAATTCCAATCGTAAAACAGGGAACAAGAACATACCCAGGTGGCAGACTGTGTTTGTACATGCACTTATCCCCTCCGTTAGGGCAAACCCAGAACCAGCCATATTTCTGATTTTCCACGGCCTCAATGAAGTACTTGCAGACCTTGTCGGTTGTCGTCTTCGGGTTACCGTGCTTGCTCAGCACGACATTTCTCAACTTTTCCTCGTCCCAGTTATCCATAAGATCCTGCTTCTTGTCCTCCTCCGCATCTCTGGAGTCGGAATATAAATCTTTCTTCTGCGCTTTCCGCTCCACCGCAGGATCGTGGCTGAATTTGCATTTTTTCCCTTTCTCACAACTCCCCTTTTTGAAGAATATGCAGAGGACGGTTTTAGGGTCGACGCCAAATGGTACTTTTTGGACCTGGACAGGTTTGAAGAGCTCTGCAGCTTCGCGTTTGGCCTGTTCAGCGGCAGCCTTATCCTTTTCCCGCTGGATTCGTTGAGCCTCTTTCTTCTTGTCATCTGAAGTCTTATTTGATCGTGCTTGGGCTTGAAGTTGGGCTATCTGTTTCTTTGCACTACCTCCTTTTTTCTGTTATCACAGTTGTTAACCCCTGAGCTAGGAAAGTGGTTTGATACATATACGGTAGCATCAGTAATTAGCCACGTACATTTTTCATGCCAAAGGTCTAGAAAATAGATTAAAAGCGTCGGGGTTAGCAATCTGTAAACAATTTCTTAACCACGCAATGACAACCTACCTTATCCTCCACCGTAGCCTTCGACTTCTTCGGCTGATCACTTCCCTTCTTGGGCGGCATATTGCCGTATATGTAGAGAGCGGGTGAGTATGAAGGTGAGTGGGTGTGGTAGCATATATTAAATACCTTGGTAGGTAGTTATTTAGAAAATATTCTGGGTTGTTGCTGTTCGAAATTACGTCTTGGAACAGGAATCTGCGTGGCAGCACCAACAGCCCGTACAGCCAGCCAGAGGATGGGGGGAGGAATATGATGTAAATATATATGTAAGGTGAGATAGGGTAACTTTATTGCTGGGTTGTCGCTGGTTGTTCCATATGTCCATATATTCCTATGTTCCTATGTATATATATCACTGTGCTGTGTGGAGTGAAGAAGGCAAGGCTGCTGGAAAGAAGAAACAGCCGAGCTTGAAAGGGAACTTTTGGTGGGAAGGAACCAGGCTTGGCAAGAGTGGCAATAGGGGAGGCTGTGTGTTTAACCCATCCGCACTTGTCCTAATAGTATATATAAGTGCTTGAGAATGAATAAGAAATGCTGCGAAGAAAAGCAGACAACGCAACACACAGATATATAAAAGCATAAAAGAGGGATATAGAAATCGCTAGTGAAACTGACAGTCTGGGGATTAATAATTTGGAGACCAGCTGAAAGTAAGAAATATTTAACTAAATAACCGTCCGCGGTCTTCTCCCATCCTAAATACTTTCTTACCATTTGGACATTTGCTTACACGCCGCCACAGCGTCAAGCAGCTATAACAAACCGCCAAAATGATCTCCAACGACCAGCTCTACCAGTTCGCCATCTTCCTCGGTTCCTGTGCCATGCTCCTCATCATCCTCTACCACTTTCTCGAAATCAACGCCAAAGACTCCCCCAACACTACCTCTGCCTCCGAAGAGCCTTCGGTTAAAGTCACACAAGGCGCGACCCCGGCCGAAAGTTCTGCCACTGTAGCTGGTGGAGGAGCTGCTAGTAGGAAAGGATAGCAAGTGATAAGAAGGGATCAAAAGTGATAAGATTCCAGAAGGACAGGAGGACAGGAGGAGTGGAGGAGTGGAGGAGTGGAATGGGCTGCGATTGGATTGGACCCGATGAAGACGAGAACGGAACCACCTTTGCTACATATCCGTGAATGTACTATACAAGATGGGTGCATGTCCTACGTTTTATCGCGTGTACGAACTCGTTCTCGCATGTTACATGGCGACTCCATTTCCTGTCCTAAGACGCAAATGCCAGGGTGGCTATCTCTATAGAAGTGAATTTGAGAATAGATTTTTGTTCCTCAGGCACATCGGGAATGTATGGTAGATAGATATACCCTTAGGGATGTATCAGTTCAATGTATTGCCCAGGTTCTGCGCCTAGCTTCAAGAAATTCTCTCCCCAAACCCCCCAATGTACAAACGGAAAGAAGTACATAAAAGACAAGCGGTAGTTTAGCGACTTTCCCCCTCCAATACAACACCAGTGACCCCCCATACCCATATTCGCCGCAAAATGGCATCTGTTGGCATCTATAAACACGTCGGAGAGTATAACTTTGCAGGGAAAAGAAAGATAGCAATTCAATCAAAACCAATTTCGCACCGAAACGTTTCAGTGCCCTAGAGATCATTATTATCCCTACCCTCATCCTCAGGTATAATCTCAAAAACGCTCTCGGAGTCAGCGATCGTCTCCTGTCTTTTCGGGTTCATGAATGTACACCCGCTGCGTCCCAGACCTATTCCAACCATCATTTGTTTCTTTTCGATAGCCCGCATCACCTCCAGCGCCTTTGCTTTGTCGCTCTCGATACCGTACATTTTGTTGAAGGACCGAATCGACCTGTAGGTCGCGGGGAGAACCAGGGTAGGCCGTGTGCCTTTAGTAGTTGCCTTGGCAATGACGGTGCGACCATTTTCGTCATTCAGATAATCGTCGATATTGGAATCTTGATGACCTAGACGAAACAGAGAAAGAAAAAAGATAATGAGAAATTTTCTAGATTTTTATTTTCTTCCTTCTTTTATCTCTTTCTCTGGAAAGACGATGTTGTGCTCATAAAACAACATTTGGGTTGCTGAGTTTGCCTGTCTCACCGGATCTTACCGACCCTGGGCCCTCACCCAGCGTCCATGCAATTTCATTCAAGTGTACTTTCTCCAAGTGATCACGCAGCTCATCACACGTTGTGAAGTTGTTCCCTCCATCAGCTCCCGGGACGCTGCACCCGGACCACAAGCAGGACGTGACGCTTGTGCTGACTTTGGGAACATGGAGGCGAGTGACGTGTTTCCGCAGTGTCTGAATATTGTGAAGCTGGGCATCGCAGTTTCTCCACTTGCATTCGTATATGTGGTATGGTTGCCTCGAGGGTGATACCTGTGAACTTGTCGAAATCGTAATCTCGACTCGATCTGCAATTTTGGGTTTGTTTTTCGCGCCCGGAGGGCGTCCACGGCGACGAGGTCCGGGGATTGGAGGAGTGGAATTCATCATCATCATATTATTATTATTGTTATTATTATTATTATTATTATTTTGATCTTGAAGTGACGGGTTATCACCGTTGACCGTCTGAGAAATGCGAAGATGAGACGGTGTATGAGGAAATTGTGAAGGACGTAAAGAAGATCGAGAGGTAAAGTCTTCCTTGGCCTGGTCACGTGGAATCCGATTAGATAAGCGACTTGGTGGCGTTCGGTACGGGCGAATAGTGAGTGAGGGAGGCCTGGAAATAGCATCAACAAGAGGTACTTCGGGAGGTGGAGGTCCGCCAGGATCGACGAGTTCCCAGCGGAATGTTCGTAGATCAGACGCATTATCAACAGCTAAGAAATTATCCCGCAGCTTTGAAAGGTGCTGGTTCAAGGGACGTTGAGTTGGGTGACGTCCGGTGGCAATCAAAATGTCTCTCGCAATGGTCTTAGGATCATAGTACCGCGTTTTCAATGCCTCCGCCTTGTTTAACGGCTTTACAATATCTGCACGTTTTCGGAGTGCTTCATTTTCCGCAGAAGAATTCGAATTAGTCATTCTAAATTGTGATGGATCCAGCTTCCTTGAGGGAGGAGCTGGGGTTCCAGCGGTTTCAGGCGTGGCAGAGGTGAGTGGCGGCACGCTATGACTATCCACATCCATGTAGCCTTCGGGCGGTGTATTTTCCAAATGTGGATCTTTGGTGGAAGGTGGCAGATGTTCATCGTCACTGAGAAGTTGCGATAAATCCACAATCTCTGCAAATGTACGTTTTCTAGCCTTTGCCTCTTTGGAACCCGGTACAGGCACATGTGCAGGGGGTGCAGGTACACGGAATTTTGGTTTCAGCTTGCCTCCCATTGGGCTGGGAACTGGACTACCTATGTTGCGTCGGAAGGCTGTTGGGTTTGCAGGTTGAGGATAGGGTCTTGCAAGACCCGGAGTAGGTTTTTCTTGTGACAATGTAGGTTGGCATGAAGAAGGGGTTCTTAGAAACCCGGGAACACGGTTCTCTGGCGGGACAGATGTCGGAGTTGGACCCGGCCCTGAAAATGCAGGGGTTCCGCTCATTGGTGGCATAGATGCCGATGGTGTACCTTCTTTCTCCGTTTGGTTCATAAAAGCCAGAGCACAGCTTCCTGATGGAGCTGCGAATACCTTTGGCATGGACGTAGTGCTATCGCTTGTGGGTCCTTGAGTAAGGGGACTTGGATATGATGCCGGTTGGGGTTGTGTCGCTGTTGGGGGGGTTTGGCTTTGCGGTTGGCTTTGCGGCTGGCTTTGCGACTGGCTCTGCGGTTGGCTCTGCGGTTGGCTCTGCGGTTGGCTCTGCGGTTGGCTCTGCGGTTGGCTCTGTGGTTGGCTCTGCGGTTGGTTCTGCGGTTGGCTCTGCGGTTGGCTCTGCGGTTGGCTTCGCGGCTGGCTAGGAGCGGATGATGGAGCAGGTGTCGGCCCGGAACTAGTAGTTAATTCCGGTACAGCTCTAAGTAGATGTTTCGCAAAATGAACACGATTCAATGAATAACCGCGTGACTCCAGCATCCCACAAAGCTCAATGTAGCTTGGGTTTTGGTTTATAAGACTCAACACTAGTTCAGGTGGGCATTTCCTGCCAGAATTGGCATTTGCAAAAACTTGGTCAATATAACTTGCAGCAGCATTGGCTAGAGCCAATCGTCTCTGTTCAGGCCAAATTGTAGCTGCCGTCTGATCTGGCCCGTTCTTTATTAGTTCTGACTCTGGATTAGGTGATGATTTTGGTACTAATGCTGTAGCTGGAGCTGGAGCGGAAGCAGGTGATGGTGTTGACACCGGTGCCGGACCGGGCCGAACCTTATCGGAACCTATGAGTTTATCTATCTTTATAGCTTCCTTTATAACTTCCCCTGTCTGTCCTCGTCCATTGTTCTTGTTCATCTCCGGCTGCGAAGGAGATATCGGCTCAGGCTGTTCTGCCTGCAGTTGAGTGAACGAAGAATTAGTTTGATGAACAGTCGCCGCTTGACCTTTCGACTTTCGTTTCCGTCGAGCTGCAGGGAATTTACCCCAGTCACGACGTGGATCGTTCTCATCTGTGGGTTTTGGAGTGTTAATAATAGTAGTGCTAGCATCAGGCGCAGATGCGGGAAATCTCGCAGCACTACTCCGTTCTTGCATACCTTGAGAGTGGGAATTATTTGACTGTGGTCGTGATTGCGATTGAGCCGAAATATAAATGTTAGCTTTGCCCACACCAACAAGGGGGCAGGAGATACCCAAATCGTGCTTACCTGGTCGAGAGAACCAAACAACCTGGCAAATTTACTTGGATCCTTCGATTTCAGCTTTTTCATTTTCTCCAACATCATTGTCATTTCCAGATCCATATCCTCATCTGAATGTGCCTCAGCCTGTGCTGCAGGAGCTGGTGCAGATGCCTGACCTCCAGGTAGTGGAACAGGCTGTTGAATATGTGGTTGAACAGGTGGTGCCTGAGTGGTGTTCGCCTTCTCAGTCGATTCAGCTGGAGCAGCAGAAGTAGAGTTTTCTACTATTGATTTGTGATCGGGTTTGCGGCCGAATTTTTTGACCTTTTGTAAGGAAAATGAGCCGGATGCTGCTGCAATGCTTTCAACCTGTATCCTCTCCGCGTGTGCATGAGCAGCTTTCGCCTTATCTGCCTCAAGCTTTTGTTTAACCTCAGCCTGAACAAATACGCTCTGTATATCTTTCTCCTCTTCTTTCTGTTTCTCTAACAGCTTCTGTTTTTCCAACTCCTTCTGTTTCTCTAGCTCTTTCTGTTTAAGTCGCTCCGATTCCGCTTCTGCCTCTGCAGCCTTCTTTTTCTGATATTCCTGATAATAAGGGTTGTAAATTTTGCTCGGGTCTATAAAATTTGGAGTGGAAGACTGGTATGCTTGTGATTGACTTGTGATTGCCGCCTGATCCTCAGAAGCAGAGTTATCGTAAGGGGTATTTGAAATGGTGTGTTGAGAAGGAGATGAGCTGTGAGAGTGCTGAGGAGCACCGCTGCTACTGCAACATGGACTGCCTTTTCGCTGTGATGCAGTCGAATGGCCAGGGTAAGCTGACGTAGAGGTGGGAGCAGCTGACACTGTGGGGGAGTATGCGTTTCGTGTCTGGGATGCGGATTGTTGATGCTTAGAGATGTTCGACTGTGCGGACGTTGTTGAGCTTCTACTATATTGCAGTTTAGCGATTTGCTGGTGCTGGTGATAAGACTGATCAGTCTGCTCTAATGGCGATGGTCCTGTGGGGTTTGAGGATACCAAATTTGACATAAGAGTCCCGTAACATGGGTAGGAATGCGAAGGCGTTGAGGAAGCAGCTTGACTGGTAGATGTACGGTGTGGGGGAATGCTAGAAGACAAAGCAGTCATTGCCGAAGCTGCGGCAGTCCGCGAGCGTTGAGCGGAGTTCGGGCGATCAATTGACGAAGCAGCATTTGCGGGAGATCTGCTCTGATTTCTTGATTCGGACTGATAACTCATGTTAGCGGAGACAGAGGTGTTTGAAGGCGAATCAATGGCGGAGTCGTGGATGGCGACAGGTTCTAATGCAGAACCATAGGGTGCATGTTGCTGTGTTGGTGAAATAAGCTGACTATAAGCTTGTTGGGCTGGTTGGGCCCGCTGGATTTGGTGGGTATGGTGGGTTTGTTGAGACGAGATTGACGACACGGCATTGGACGTATGGTAGCTAGATTGTTGCTGCTGGGGTTGCTGATGATACCCGTATCCCTGCGCGGGGTCGTCGGATGGCCAGTTTCCGGACTGTTGCTGCTTAGAGTTTTGGGCGGCTATATCCGGGTTGTTTTGGCCTTGCCACTCATAGCTCTGCAGTCCGTAGCTCCTATCAGTCTGCTGGATATTCGAGGCTGGTGACGCCGAGGTAGCTGGGATCTGGCGGAGTGAGGAGTAGGAGGAGGATTGTGTATTCTGCCCGCCAGTCAAGTATTGGTATGGGGGATATCCAAATCCCTGGTACGACATGACCAGCAAAGGATATAGCCCAGGGCTGAATAAATCACGTCTTCCACGCTACGAACACTGAATGTGAGATGATAATGCATAGGGTATCGCATTGGAGGGCGGGAGAGTGACGGAGTGAAGAGAGAGCCTGGCGAAGCTCGAGACCGAACGGGAATCGACGTGCGCAACGCAAAGCAAGCGAGAGACGAGACTGAACGAGGAAGGGAAGCAGCAGTATTTGGATTTGCAATGGACTGCCTGAGTCAACACCTCACCACCACCTTGTATCGACTTGTCGTTCCTCGTGTAGAGAGTTGCCGCTCGATGTTGTCGCTAAAGATAAGTCGCAATCGGTGTCTTTAAGCACAAAGGTCAGGTCACGGGGTTTGCCGGGCGCGACCTGGATGATAAGTCAGCAGAACCTACCCACCACCAACGCTAAGCCCAATATAGCCAGATCAGCTGACCCACACAGCGCTGACACATTTTCAATTCAGTGTGGAACGACAAGAAGGAAAAATTAATACAACCAGAAGAATCTCGACGACGACGACGACACGATCACATTCCCCCATCCGCCAAAGCCCCCCTTTTCCGGAGCCAGATCTCATTTTCCCTACGATCTGCACAAATGGCCAAGATCAACTCAGGTGTGTATGCTGGTTTTCTATGTTGTTTCTTCGGCTTCCCAGGGCGGTAAAATCGGACACCCTTCAATCAACCCTGGAATACGCAATGCTGATATTTTTGCTTCAATCGGCAGATCTCGCCTCCTCACGGCGGAAGTCGCGCAAGGCGCACTTCAGCGCCCCGTCTAGTGAACGACGAGTCATCATGAGCGCGCCATTAAGCAAGGAACTGCGAGAGAAGCACAATGTATGAGATCCACAACCCTATAATTCCGAACGAGACGTGGAGGAGGCAAAAAAGGAGGAAAGAAGCAGGATTAGGAATGGAGAGAATCAGGAGGAGAAGTTTGTGAAATTAGAGTTACGAGCAATAGCAAAACGTTACATATTTCTGGAACATCTTTATCTGATATGGTTTGGAAATAACCAGGTCCGCTCGATACCCATCCGTAAAGATGACGAAGTCACCATCATTCGGGGCTCCAACAAGGGCCGCGAGGGCAAAATCACAAGCGTCTACCGCCTCAAATACGTCGTGCACGTCGAGCGTGTCACCCGCGACAAGTCCAACGGCCAGAGCGTCCCAATTGGCATCCACCCTTCCAAAGTTGTTATCACCAAGCTGAAGATCGACAAAGACCGCGAGAGCATCCTGGAGCGAATGGCTAAGGGACGGGAAGCCAAAGCTCCAAAGGGAAATTAAATTAGAAACGGCGTAATCTTCTTTGCTTTCTTTTCTTCTTATTTCTTCCTTCACTTTTCTTTTCATTCTTTTGTCTTCCTTGCCTTTTTATTTTCTCCGTTCGAGGACTGTGTGGGGGGGCTCAGTTTTACACAACATGTTGGTCGGATTCGTGGTTCGTGGATTGGAGAAAAGTTTCTCTACAGGCTCAGCGGATCTTGGGAAAAGGAAATTATATGACTTGATTGTCTGTAGTGCAAAACACGGGCGGGCTGATTTTTGACGTTTTCGATTTCGGCTTATTTATGTGTCCTCCTTTTCACATACCCGCTTCGATGCATGATTGAAAATTAGTATACCATTTCAGAGCCGCGACCGATCCGATCAGAAATGTCAAAACAGGTTCCAAAAAATTCATGATGGAAAGAAATTAACCACACCTTTTGTTCTTGCTTGCGTCAATTTCTTCCTCCCTCTCCCCCCTTCCAGAGACATATTGTGAGATCACTCTCAAAGCTGTCATGCAACTGAATCTTGCCAGTATTATCTCCGCGCAAATCGAGAGAATTATCATATTCCTCCATTTAGTGGTTTGCGAGGTATACGGCTGGCGTATATGAAGCAATTGCTGCAAACCCATTCCAAACTTACTTTTTACATATTATGTATTTATCAAGCGAAGTGCGATGGTTGCAAGGTTCGTCTCGCCTGCAGACTTGTCCCTAGGCCCTGCCAGTAACGGAGACAAGTTTGATGGGGAGGCACATCATTTTTATTTGTTAGGAGAATTCTTATATGATCTATGTCCATAGACTTAACTCTGAACAGATTTTCCATGAAGAATCCCAAATCATGTTCAAAAATTAAGACAAAGCGATCGGCAAATACCAAGACAAATGACTAGACATAGGATCTTTTTCCCTTTAAACTGGCTTAGTGGTATACAATGAAAACGAAAAATACATCAGCTAAGACTCAGATGTTCCAATATGGATACACCACACAGCAGCTAGACGAAGAGAAAACGAATAACACGATGATTTAAAATAAGAGCAGAAAATACATAACCACGAAGCGGACATAACGGGGGAGAGAGAGAGAGAGAGAGAAGAAAATGTCTCGCAATAAATCAGAAAATCTTGTAGTAGTATCAATTTCCCCAACCAATTCAACATAATACATCGTTCGGCTAATGGCCAACACATTTCCCCCACGCCGGCAAACCACACGCCATCCCAACAAACAGATATATAAGGAACACAACCACAACGGCCAGCAGGACCATCACCTTCACATTCTTCCACCACATCTGCCGTCTCAGCCCACGGCTCCGCACACGGAAATCCCGCGCGGTAGTACCCAGTCGATCCGTCTTGTCAACTAACAAATCAATCCGCTCCCCGCGTTCCAACACCCGCTCGATATTCTCCGTCATAATATCGCGCACGCTATCGATTTCCTTGCGCGCTGACGCTAGGGAGTCGGCTGGTGGCGCTGTATTGTAGGTTTGCAGCAGGGCACGGAGATCCGTGTTAAACGCTGCGCAGCCGTAGGCGGATAATGCGGCGAAGTCGGTGCTGTGTGGGTTGTAGGCTGCGAGGAATTTTCTTTTGATCTCCAACAGGAATGCGAAGGGGATGCGGCGACCTATCTCTACGGTGGCGACGACTAGGTAAGTGAGCGGAGCGTGGGAGGTGAGCTCGCCATTTTGGGAGGTCGCAGAGGGGGAGTCGGCGATGTAGTGGACAAAGAGGCGATCGTGGGTGTATGTTAGTTTCTGCGGGGCTTGGTGGGAGATTTTCGGCAGGATTATGGAGGCAAGTGAGGAGGCTGAGGTGGAGGAGGTGCCTGGAGATGAGTGTTCGGCGAGGATAGTCGATCTATGCGCGATGCAGGCGCTGAAGGACGAGGCCGAGGGGTTAGTCCTAGGAGATAAGCAAGGATAGAAGGTATATATGCATTGTGCTTACTATAGTAACGGGGTGGGAGGCTTCGATGAGGAGGCCATGTGTCCTGCCTGGCTAAATAATACCCGAGATGATGGAATCGGATCAATCGATTATCGCAGTTGTCTGAAATTTTGTTTGGCTGATTGTTGAATGATTATCGTTGACGGGCAAAACGTTTGGTGACGTCGAAGGTTCGTTCGAAAGGACCGAGAAGCTAGTAGTTAGTTATCACGTGAAAGCCACTTTTCTAGCCTATGTTAAGACTCTCGTTACCAAGTCCTTTCAACCCAACATACTCTAGCACCTCTTTTTCCATTGCAATTGGAAAACGTCTTAATCAATCTTGATCACATCCCTATAAGCTCTCTCCCATCCCCTCAGGCAGCAAGCCTGATGGTGTGCCAACACAGCGCCGCCAGCGCGCCCGGCCCCCCAACAACACTGAATGCGTCCTGAGCCTTGATGTGCATCTGCTCCCCCATACACTGATCACTCAAGAGACCCCATCTCTCCACCCCAATCACCCACTGCACATGTGAACTGAATGACATGGAGTCTTCAAGCTCCCCTACACCAGCAGGCAGCTCAAAGAGCATAAATGTCACACCAATACATCTCAATCTACATAGCTCAATGGCTAGTGAGCTCCTAGCCACCCATGAGGCTGAGGCACAGAAATCCCATGCAGAAGCACTAGCTACTGCAAATATGCTTGATCAGATTGAAGAAGACTTAGATGACATGAAGACAACAGACCTATCAAGAGCACTGACCCTTGAAGTCATCATGAAGGCATTAGTCAAGAATTAATATAATGAAAGTCTAGAAACAGCTAAGCAGTTCATCACAATCAAGTTTACTGACTTCACTGATACAATTGATGCAGGAGCTTTTACCTATACAAAGACAGCTGTAGACAACATTAATGTAGTAAAAATATTAGCAATCATACTGTAGAAATCTTTGCTTATAAATAATCTTAAAGAAGAAAAAATATCATAAATTTTTATATATTTGTCTTCAAATCATCTAGCTCACAAAGCAAGTTTAATCACTACTTTTAGAAATCTGAAGACTGAACTCTCAGAGTCTTTGACAATAATTATCACAGTAGTTTAAGTCATTCTCACTGATATTGTTATCATTTCTAGAAGCTTATAAGATATGAAGACTCTGCTAGTCAAAAAAATAATATAGCAGCTGTTCTCATCAATACTCAGATAGATAAAAAAGAATATTAAATCATTTGTCTAATTTCTAAGCTGATTATGAAGATTATCATGTCAATGAAAAAGATATTAGATAATCAGCATGCTGTCTTTATAGTAAGAATCAAAAAGCTGAACAAAAGACATCTGCTGGTGAGACACTTCAATAAAATAGCTATTACTTAGCTCTGTATCATATATCTATCTATAGTGTTCAGTCCTACTGATATGATAAAAGCATATGATTCTCTACTCACACTTTCTTAATTAATATATCTCAGAAAAGAAGATTTACAGATTGAGTATAATACAGACTACATATAGAAACAGATAGTACAAGATTTTAAGAGCTGACTACAACAATACAATTCTCTGAATTTAATAATCTTTACTGATAATTCATAGATAATATGTTCTCAGTGTATGACTGATGCAAAATGAGTTATATACTGAGATAATGAATATTATCTAGTCTTCACAGAAAATCTATCAATGAATAAAGCAGAGATTTTTGATGTGAAGGCAATAACAGCTCTGCAAAATCTAAAGAAAGTCATCATCTCTTCTCAGATGAAATATATCAGCAACATCTATATTTGTCTAGATAATTTGAAGATAGTATAAGCTTTTGAATCTGTGTTAATCATCTCTAGCCAGCTGATTTTTGCACAGTTTTTGAAAGTTATAAAGATCTGACAAAGTAGAAATAGACTCTCATTGATCACTCAGAGCAGAATGATCATTAGATGAATTTCAAATCATATAGATATGACTGATAATGAAAAGATAGATTTTGAAGTCAAAGCAGCTATAGCATAGGCAGTAAATACAAGCACAGTACCTTGTTTCAACAGCATAGATACACCAGCTTATATAAAGTGACACACTATAGAACAAATCATACAGGTCTTTGAGAACTATTGAAATAAAAACCTGCTCAAATGCTATATGAATCTGAAGATCTCATTGAAGAGAGTTTCAACATAGGTAAAACTTTCATATTTCATATTAAAAATCTCTACACTGTCTGATCAGATCATGAAGACTTTGTAGTCTATCATAGTCACCTTAAGTATGAAAATGCAGAGTGCTACTGCCAGTGTGAATGTAGCAAAATCTCAGAATATTTCTATTACTGCACTCTTGCAAGAAAAGTAATAAAGTAGTGCTGACTGTAATGACGTAGAACAGACTTACATTCAACCTTCTCAAGGCGATTAGTCATCATACTGACTGAGGCGATTGATCATTATACAGGCTGAGGCGATTAATTATCATGCAGACTGAGGTAATCAATCATCATACAGATCAAAGTGATCAGTAAATAACAATTGCCTAGGTAATAGCAAACAACCCCATAATTACCCTATGTATGAATAACACATAAACATGGTAATCATATAGTAACAGTGCTAGAGAAAAAGGGCTATATATACAGAGTCTTCTTCAAACTCATCTTTTAGAAATCATCTTAGTATTTGCTCAGATAGCTTATTTAGTTAGCAATCAAATATTAGTTCACCTTTGTCTAGTTGAAGCTGTGACATAATACTAATATCATCTACTTTTCTTGCTCTTTTTAAAGCAGATTTTTAGATAAAAAACCTCTGAGAATTCTTATCTACTTTTGTTGTAAAACCTCTGAGAAAACTGTTAAAATGTTGAAAGCAGTTAGAGAATCTGACAGTTTATGAAGATCAGACTAAGATATGATGACTCTGACTGAGAAAAATATAAGATCAAAGAATCTCATATTTAAAAAATAATTCTTTGAGGCAATTGAAGAAGACTTAGAGTAAGTATATCAAAAAATTACTGATATTATAAATGAGGCAAGAAGTATTCTAGAAAGAGTTAGAGCAGAATGAGATGAGCAGAGAAAGCAAGTGAGTGAACTTGATCAGCAAGTCAATAGTCTAATAAAGGAATAAAATACTTTATAGCAGACAGTGAACTCTTTAGCCTCTCAAATTAAACTGATGAACAATCAACATATGTAACAATTAGTCAAACTTGATGACTCTAAGCATCTCATCAATGAAAAAGAACTAATATTCAAAAATTAACTCTTCTGCATAAAACACAAGCTAACTGTCAACATTGATCACTTTTCAACTGAAGAAAGCTATATAGTCTATATTGAAAACTGAACTGATGGTGAAGTTGTCAGGCACTTAGTCTCAAGAATGAAGAAAGATCATTCTAAGAAGTTTAAAATAGCTGAGAAAGTATTCAAGTATTTACAAAATATATATAAAGATGTTAATAAGCTTAAGAATATAAAGATAGAATATCAGTATCTAATAATGAGAAATGAAAATGACTATCACATATCTATAATCAAATTCTTATACCTGACTAGTGAAGCTCAAATTCATAAGAAAGATTATACAGTAGACTTTCTTTATAAGATTTTCTTTAATCTTCAACTTATGATTGCAGCAGCCTGCATCAATTACAGTATCTTTCAAAAGATTCAAGATATCTGCATCTGAACTGCTTACTATCTTAAAAGTATATTAGATCATCACAATCAAAGACTGCTCAGCTGTGAAGAAGCTTCAATGATTCAAAATAGTTATAAGAGAACTCTCACATCTTAGAACTGTGAATCAACTTCAATCATATTAGCACAGACAACTGAGAATAGAATAAAGATTGAGAATTGAAAAAAAAATGTGAAATGCTTTAATTATCAAAGCAAAGATCATATAGCTTGAAATTGCTCACTGTAGAGAGTTAAGCTCTAAGAACTAGAGGCTAGTCCTTCTATATAACAAGGACGAATTGCTTGGAAAAGGGAAGAAAAGAATGAGATGAGAACACAAGCTTAAGCAAGCTCACATAGTATGATCACGTGTGCATATGCAGTATGATCATGTGTGCATGTGCAAACAATGACTAGGCTGAGTCAGCCAGTCAGAGTGAATCTAAGGGTTCAGTCTCTTATAATACCCCTCTTCTCCCTCTTTGTTGCAGGTCTTTATGACTATTTAAAGCTCTCTTTATATCTAATTTTGCCTGCTGAAAGGCCTCTCAAGTGTTCAAAGCCTTCATTTCTTGTAGAAGACTTGTGTTATTTCATGTAGAATCAGCTCAATCTACTCATTTAACAAGGTATTGCTTTTTTCTCTGATAGATTCATTCATCTCAAATTTTCTCAGTCTCAAACTCAGATCCTTCTGAGATCTCTATAGCAGATGACTATCAATCAGTTTATCTCTGACTAGGCAGGGAATTTATCATCACTGTATGTAGAAGCTTTATATTAAAGACATTGTGAATGCTGAGTGAGATATTCAGTTGATAAGCATGAGATTCTATCTTTTCTAGCACAGTAAATTGATTGTATTTCATGTTCAGCTTCTTGCACAGATGATTAGTTCTCATATTCTCTAAGCTCAACCAGACCTTATCTTCAGGTTAAAAGCTTGGAGCTGGGTCTTTTCATCTATTTATATAGTTTTCTTGAGATTGCTGAGCATCTGTCATATTTACTTGAACTCACTTTAACATTTCATGAGTCTTCCTCATATAATCATCTGCAAACTCAATGAGATTATGTAGTGTTTCAACAGGAGGTGCATCACCTATATCAATGAAGGAGATATGAAAAAGATGTGTTAAAAAAAATAAGCTCACATCTGTTGAGACAGTATCTCTATTATTGATGATCAGCTCTGTCAGAGAGAGTCATTCACATCAGTCATCCTGTTAAAAGCTAACATACTTGTGTAGATAGATTTTCAGAATCTGATTCATTCACTTTGTAGCTCCATCAGTCTCTAATTGATAGACTGTGAAGAGTCATTTCTTAATGTCTAATTTCTCACACATCTGAGTTCAAAACATGCTTATGAAAGCTGATCCTCAATCTGACACTACTGTCTTAGAGATATCATATCAAGAGATGATGTTGTGAAGAAATACTCTAGCCACTATCTTCACATCAGTTTTCTTAACTACTTTTAATATAATTCTCTTGATCAGTCTGTCTATTATAATCATGATGTTCATGAATTCTTTAGAGCTCAGTAAGTTTACAATAAATTTCATGAAAAGCTTCTGTCATATGTGTTCAGAAATGAGAAGAGGCTTAAGCAGTTTCTGATGTTAATCTCTTCATGCACTGTTTGATCTGTAAAGATGATAGTTTCTGATCATTCTTCTCACATCAGCAGCATAGTCTGATCAGTAGAACTCATATCTTAGAACTTCTGTCATTTGCTCTCACCTGGAATGACTGGTAAAAGATGAGTTATAAATCTCATGCACTAATTTAGTTTGAAGAGGTTTGAAGTCTAGCACTCACTTATGATCATGAAAGAGAAGCTCTCTGTTCTTATTTAAAGAGCACTCAGAGACAGAGATCTTAATGCTGGTTTAGAAGAAAATCTGAATCTTCTCTCACAAAGAGTCTGCTCCAGACACTGCAGAATCTTATCATTTTTATGAGTCTCATTTCACTGAGTTTGAAGAGACATCTCAAGTTTCATGCTGACAGCAGTCACTCTTGATTTCATTTCAGGTGTCAGTACATTAAACTTAAGTAGTTGAGCTTGTCTCTGCTTGATTCTCTCATCATCAGCACTCTGTGGCATG